AAAAGTATCTTAAAGTATGGCTGCACACTTATGGAAATCTCATTGTTTCACTGGCTTTTGTTGTGTTTTTTTTTGTGACCATTTGAAGAAAAAATATGCAAATGATTATCGAATTGTGTCACAACTTGAGCTGCAGGATTAAAGGCATGGTTGGTAATTTTCTCTTTGGATTTTGGTTGAAAAAGTCTTTACGTCCTGACAGAAATAAATAACTCATGTGCTCTGAAAAAGGAACAAAGAAAATCTGTCATCTGTAGCAATTGTAAGCCTGTCAAAATGCTTTGACCAATATCTGCCATGAGGTACCAATCTGATGAACCAATCACGCCACCCTGTCTCCCTGCTCGTTATTTACCCCTTGCATGCTATAGCCTACACTCAAAGTGCGTCACCAATGACAGAGTTTATACTGTGAGCTTGTTGTTGGCCGTTGTGAGCAGTAATATGGTCAGGGTTTTTTTTTTTTAACATACATGATAAAGTTTGGTGTTTACTTAGCACTGATTGAGACATGAGACAACGTATTTTTTACACAATATAAGGGATGAGCTGAGGTCCGCTTCTGGAGCAACGGCGCTCGTGCATGTAAGTGAGGGGGCGTGGCTTTTGAGGGAGCACAGAGGGGAGGGGGTGGGTGCAGACGGAGCACTGAGGGAATGCTACTTTCAAAATCATGCTAGTTTTTTTACCAACCCTGCCTTTAATCACAATTTGATCCGTAATGAGACGTGAAAATTTGTGATAAAAAAATGGCATAATTTTTAATTTATGCCAATAAATAAAAAAATAAAAAACTTTTTATGTGGTCAAGCAGTGCTTTCTCACTCAGCACGTGAACATTGCACCTATTGGTTGGAGGTCTGAGTGTAAGGGCCATGCTTCCACACCATCTTGATGCAGTCAGGTGAAGCTGAAGCTAGTTTTGAGCTACCCTTGGATTTATTAGTGCTAATTTAGTGGAGGAAAAAAACTGTTTTTTAGATTCATTTTGAACTCAAGAGGGATTGTGCAAACATATTGAATAACACATGAACAGCAGATAGACATAGAGAAATGTTTTCTTTTGTATCACATGGTACATCATTATTGAACAATGTTATTACACATTACTTGTTTTTTCTCATATTATGCAGGGCTAATCACAACTGCTACAAACAGGAAGTAATTTTCACCATTTTATGATCTGAAACTCAGTGGGATATTTATCTGTCGGGATACAAGCCGGAATTTAAAAGTGCCAAAAACCCCTCAAACAGGAAAAGTTCATCAACATTTTTACTGCAGATATCAACATCCTGGTCGTGGGTCAGGTTTGTAAACACATCGCCTCTTATATTGTGAAAGGCAGCCCTGTGAATACACAGAGGTGTGCTTCAGAGCCTTGTAAATAAACAGCCCTGGAGGTGTATCTCATTATGAGCCATGAGGAAACATTGGCTGCTTTTATAGGGAGTGAGGGTGTGGGTTAATGGGGAGGGGGAATTTCCGATAAGCATGGCAGACCCACCACCACCACCAGCAGCACCAGCAGCAACCAAACCTCCCACACAGCTATATGGGTCACCTGAAACCACACAGACCCCCCACCTCCACAACCGCTGTGCCAGGCCGAGCAGGAAACACACAACTAAAATTAAGCCAGGACAGGGTTTTATTTTTTTGTTTTTAAAGGCAGCCATACACATCACAAACAGAGCCACACACACACACACACACACTCACGATGTTCACTAAAGAAAACAGATTCCCTGCTCAAATTTGTGCCAAAAATGAGCATAAATATAGCAGAATAAACAACCAGCAGCTACCTTCTTGTTAGCACAAGCAGTAAGTAATACGTTAGCTTACCTTGGTTCAGCAGGGCAGACGTCCCTGATTTCTTGGCAGGGTGAACCCTTACACTGGTACCAAGCTGCTTCATCACTGACAGAAAAACGCTGACTTCCAGCTTGAGTCTGCCACATCTGAAAAAGGAAAGGTAAAGAAACTTTCTGAATCTAAGCAAATGCAGCATCAGGGTGTCAAGTGTTTGTTGCTGGCTAGATTAATGAAATACTACATTAGCTAGCTGCAGGCAGACATGCTGAGCCCTGATGAGACATCAGTCACTTAAAGGGCCGGTTAATTAAAATCTGGGCCTATGTGGAAACTTATGGTGTCATTTAGCCAGATTGAGGGTTAATTCAGAGGTTTCTTCCTCAAACACATCAAAAACAGATTGAATTTAGTTTTGTATCATTTGTATTGAATATCTGTTTGCACAAGCAGTTAGCTAAAGCAATAAGTTAGCTTACCTTGGTTCAGCAGGGCAACTGTCCCTGTTTTCTTGGCAGGGTAAACCCTTATCGAAATGTTTGCTGGTACCAAGCTGCTACATCATTGACAGAAAAACACTGACTTCCAGCTTGAGTTGGACACGTTTGATGAACAAATGTCAAGAAACTCTGAATCCAAGCAACTGCAGCATTAGGGTATCGTGTTAATTTCCTTAAAATTGTCCTCTGCAGTAAGATAATACAACTGGTCAGGGCTAGCTTGTTAATGAAATACTACATGAGCTAGTTGCAGGCAGCAAAGCAGCCCATCTGCCTTGACTGTCAGGCATCAGTCACTTACAGGGCCGGTGAATTCACTACTGGGCCTACAGTTCGGTGTCATGTGGAAACTTTTGGTGTCATTTAGCCAGACTGAGCTTTATTCCTCCATCTCATACAAGTGGTACTCAAAGCATAGTTAATTCCCAATGAAAAAATTGAACAGCATTGAAGAGAGCTTCAGAAACAGCATGTACCTGTTGCTTTTAATAAACCATGTGGCAGGGAATAAACCGACTGGAAAAGGATGTTGCTACTGATTTCCTCAGCCTATGTATCTGTTCATGTACCTTTTTAGTTACCAGAAGAGTCCTATTGTAATTTAATCTTTTTTCTAGGGAGATCTGGCTAAATATTGATTGTAAACATCTCAAAATTGACTTACAAACAGAAAATTTCCCATTCACCTTTATTTATTCAGGTGAGAAAAATATATAAACGTAAAAACATGATTACTTTAAATACCTATGTAAAAAGGAGTTATGTAGGAACATAGATTGACAGTTTATGTTCTGGTTCTTTTAAGACTCATTGTGTGAAAGCATTTATAATTTTTTTTGTGCAATAAAATCAAACCTTAAGGTCGAGTAACGCATCGTCCCAAACAGTCAGCTGCATTTTGTGAACTCGTGAGCTTGCAAGAAAGGTCTTCCAAGAACAACTCCTAAGAACGGACTCCACGAGAACGTAAGTCCATTGTTTGCGTTCCTGATATTGAGAAACGGCCAAAAAGTCCAAGAAGAAAATGATTCTGATCCAAGAATGGGTTTTCTTCTATTTGAACAATAAGGCTCATAAAGAACAAAAAGGAAATAAAAGTCAGGCACACAAAGGTTTTGGTAAAATATATACTTTTTTATTTATTTCTTCATACAAAGAAATCTTATGAATGTTCAGTATTTAATCATCTAGAAACATCTGTTCCATTTTTGCATTGTGTAAAATTAACTCCTTTGATGTACATACCACAAAATACTTGATTTACATTTCTTTTCTCATCTTTGTACATACAGATTTGCTAGACTAAATACATATTATATGCGGGTAAGACAAACATTTCTTAACATTTTTTTAGATCTCGAAACTGGTTGAATAAAACTCAACCATAACCGATGTGGCAGCACGAGGTTAACCCATGGGCGCCTGTTGTTTATTTCAGATTTCCCTTCAGTGACGTGATGCAGTTTCTCCATCAGTTACGGGGAAAATGACAGACTTTCCTTCCAGGGTGTGACACCTTGCTACTAGAGGTCACCATAAATGCTTTGTTAAAATCACACATTGCACTAATGAGAGGAGGGGGGATGAAGGCTTTCTCCACTTCATCGCATAGGCCCCAAAGGTAAAGGATAGCATTGAAACAGAATGCAGTGCAACAAGCCTCCATCTCCCCTGCTATCAACCATTGGTTTGAGGTTAAACCAGGCAGCTGGTTTGAACTGAACAGTTGAATTAGAGTGATTATCTGCTATAAAGACAAAAAACAGGCTAACTGTGTTGGATTGGAAAGTTAAAGAGGCACAACATTTTCTTTACTTCAAAAGAAAGCAGGGACAATCGAATTTAACTTTGAACTGTGACAATCGGATCTCTTTAAAAAAGAAAAAAGGATTTGAGGGGCTTTAGTTGTGAGGATCGGTTGTCTACATTCATTCTGAAGCCCTCCTCTGGATGCTAATTATCCCTCCATATTATCCCTGCGTTTTAGTCAACGGCCACCCAATTGAGCATGCATAGCAAAGCGTAGCAAGGCGTAGCACGGCATAGCACGGACGCCTTCCTGTGCCCTTATTACAGCGTGCCACCCGCTGCAGAGACACGGGGGCAGCACGGCAAAGAATCATAGCCACGCATTTTCTCTCTCTTGCATATCAAGAATTCAAGTAGAAAGACGAAAAAAAAAAAACAAAGAAGCAATGCAGGGGAGAAAGGGTTGAGATAGAGATTCAAGCTGTGTGAAACATGATAGCAACCCAAAGGTTTTTTTTTTTCTTTTTTTTGGCAATAAAGAGAGAGTTGAGATCTGCTGTGGAGAGATGAGATGTGTGAGGATGAGGAGAGTGAATAAGGCATAAAGTATATCGGCCATGGAAGATGGCACATGAGTTTTTTTTTTTTTTTTTCCCCCGACGATCACCGGGATGGTTAGACACTAAAACCTCGCCTGAGGCTGATCTTGCTGTGCTCAGAGTTGCTCCACAAAAAACCTTTCCTGTCCCTTTCATGTCTTTAGTCTAGGATCTAAGACGTGGTATCTGTTTGAAGAGGAGCGATTTCAATGAGGCGACGTCTTGGCTCTGTTTTCTGTCATCTTTTCGATCTTTATCCTCCGACAGATATCTCTGTGCGACCTCATGCAAAGATTTTCCATTTTACCGTGAAAACAAGTCACCCCCCCCCCCCACCCCCGCTCTCCTCAACAAATCAAATGCCTCTCAAGGAAATTTGATTGAGACTTTGTGTGACCTTTGAACCAAGCAGATAGGGCAGGAGCCTGGCTCTCAGCCAACAACCGCTACTAATGGGGAGTAAGAGAGCGGAGGCTCGATCGATCTGCCCGCTACCTTTACCCGATTAGCATAATGTTAACATGGGCCCTTATGCAGTCCAAGATGGGATTTACCGTTTGATGGATGGGCCATTCATTAGAGCAGGCAGCAGGAGCACTGAGAATGAAAGGGCAGCTGTATACTTTAAGCATGAGTGACACAATGAGGATCAATTAGGCCTATTGATCAAGCTGTTATTGAGTGGAAAGGGACGCAAGATCTGTAGCTCAGGCCAATGAAAGTGTAGGAAAATTGGATTGTAGAAAACTTAGTAAGGACGATGATGCATATATAATGAGGATGTTCATGACAAGGTTATCTCCACTTCTCTGTGAGCACTCCGTACCCGTAATTTGGTGCTTTTTTACACTTTCCACCCTTAATTCTACTCTATTCGTCGCTGATTATTCGCATAACCAAGCACCGATAAATCCACTGAGTTTACAGGACCATGAGGGAGAAGCGAGAGAGTTCATAATAAAAATGAGGAATGTTAAAAAAAAACAACATGTGGGGTTGATGTTATGTACAAACATGGTTAGGCAGCTTAGTGAATTAATTGCTTAGAAATAAAAATAAATTATTATAAAATAGATTTCTGTACATTTTACATATATATAGCAATATCTCAACATCTTGCCATTAAATCACAGAAGACAAAAAATAACTTCTCAACAAATTAACAAAAACAAACAAAAAAAAAAAAGTCTCTTGTCACTTCACATCAATCCCAACCAAAGTTATGTCCTGTCATCTGGTAGAACTTCATGTTGAAGGGCCTGTAGAAGTCCCGTAGCCTCTGGACCACCTCAGGATCAATGTTCGGGTGGGTCCGCCCTTTGGTTTTGCCCAGGCAGTGAGGCTTGCTGCTGCCCTCGGCCTTCTTGAGACACGGGAAACCCTTGGTCTGGTTGAAGTAAAAGTGTTTGTCCGTGATGATCCTCTTGAGCCCCAGGAAGTCCTGCACGCGGCCCAGCTCTCCGGCCGGGTCGCTGATCAGACGCTCGCCGCTCACGAACAGGATCTGGTCCATGGGGAAGTACTGCAGCCAGTTGTCCAGGTGCTTGGCGTAGATGCCGATCTGGACGGCGCTCCACGAGGTGTCGATGAGCCCTGTAGTCCTGTTTTTGAAGGTAAGGCTCTCAAAAGAGGGAATGTCAGGCTTCTTGGACAGAGTCTGTGTGTAGTCTGAGATAGCCCTGGTGACCGGGTCCCTCACCACCACGATCAGCTTAGTGTCCCGGGACATGGCGGAGATCCTGGCTGGAGCCTCCCTGGTCACAAAGTAGCTGGGGGTTTTCTCCATGGTGATCTGCCCCTCCAGAGTCTTGGGCATTAGATCCCTGCAGAAGAAAAAAAAATGAGGAGGTTAGAAAGAGGGTAAGGTGGAGAAAGTCTTGCATAATGTAATCAAGTTGATGGAGTGTACAGTGCTCTGTAATCAATGACTCACTGAGCCTGTTTAGCTTTATTATAGGGCTCTGAAAGCCTATTAGTGCAGGCAGCTCTCCAACATCAACATGCTCACTCACTCATCAGATATCTCACTCCTGACAGAAAACAGAAATCCCTTTTTATTTACAACCTAATCAAACAAAGGGAAACATTTACAGAAATTTCTTACCATGATGGACCCTGACTTATCCATATTAGGGATTATGTTAAGAATTCCCCACCTCTGCTCAGACTCCTGAATACTACACTGTTCAAATCCAGCTTTGCAGCTCTGTAACCTCCTCCAGCCATAAAGCCCATTCATCCATCTATCATTTATTTTTAAACTTGGCTCAGTACATCTGTGAATTCCGTAATCTGATTCCTCTTCTACATATGTGCTCATCTTTTTTCAGTCCTCACATCTGGATCTAAGAATCCAAACTGGTACTACCTAATCAAAATTCAGCCTCTGCACTACTGAATAAATAAAAACTATGTCTGCTATGCTGAATCAGGCATCGCCATGCCACCATGCCCCGCCCCCAATCCAGCCCACATAAATTAAAAAAAAAAAAGCTTTGCTGAAAGAAGATGAGGCTTGTTTCAGAAAGGGAATCTGGTTTTTGACAAGAGTGGGTTTGGTTTTGGTTGAGGGCTGTCTGTTGAGCTCTACACAGATATGTTACATGCAAACATATAATCAAGAGGTACTTGAGAACAACTGGGTTTTAAAGGGAAAGTGAACGCACTCGGCTCTCTCAGCATTAGGTTTCAGAGTTGGTGGCCAGCCGCAGAGTCTAGTCTAGATAAAATTCTGACAGTATAAAAGAAGTGGATAAAGCACAGTGACTAAACCAATTGGTTGACTTCCTTATTTCAAGCATCAAATTTAGCATTTTGGTCTTATTATATTTGGAAAGGACCAAATTTGGAAAAGACCATATTTGGAAAATTGTTAGTATCTTTCCTGGTTAATAGGCTAGCCTGGTAGCACCTTATCAATTACATGTGGCCGTGTCTTCAAGAACATCCAACTTTATTTTCAACTTCATTTAGATTTAAAAAAAAATCTACTCAAACATTTACTGAGAGTGCAGATTGTGGACTGGAATCACCAACAGCTCAAACATTACACACAAGTAAATTCCGCTTTGTGACGGAGAGAGTCGACTCAAAAAGACACTCAAGAACCACCAACACCGATAACCAAAAACAACAAATAAGCAATTAAAATCACCCAACTGTTGAAAAAAAAAACAAAAGACAGGAGAGATAAGAGGACACTGGTCTATCAGGGAGAACACACTCTCACAGATAAGACTCATGTTAGCCTGTTGTATCCTGAACCTTGCCTCTGTTGTTACTACAGGGGCACTGATACAGCATTGTGTGGACAGTACTATTGTAGTCCACCCCATTCAAACACTGTGTAATCCTACACCGAGTACTTAAACACTGAGAAAGGTAAGAAAGAAAACTACAATGTCAATCCTATTCTGTACAACCAGAAGTCTGTAATACTCAATTCATCCCAAGAGCTTCAGCCATTCCTTCAGCTATATTATCTAAAAGCTGAAATCTAGTTCACGTCCACCTACCTCATGGCTAATTCATGTAACATCAGCGCTCCATCTAGGCCCACATTTGTGCGCAAGAAGAAGGGAATGGTGAAATGGAAGAGAAAATACCCAGGGTAACATCAGGTAACCAATAAAACGCCTCATGGAAATGGTGTTGGCAGATTTGTGTAATCCTAATGCAGTGCCAGTGATCTAATTATGATAATATCTTCCCTGATTGCTGACACATCAGAAGGGTGAACGCAGTCCGGGGCCCAAGCTCATTAATAGAGTGTTGAAAACCAAAACAGATACAGCATGTGGTTTAATGCCTGACTGATCTTTTCAGCAGCAGAAAAAACATTTCTGGAGATATAAATGCAAACAACATGCTATCAGCAAACGCACATCAATTTCTTTTGCCACAACTTTAAACTGCAAATACAACAGCTCTTGGATACTTCAAGGAATACATGAACCGAACATGCTTGGGGTAAGACTGCACGCTATTTCGTCATTCTCTCCGTGCACAATGGCGACAGTGCCTGCAAGCGTTTTTTGTCATTCCTTGTGCTAACATACAAAAAGAGTCCAGGGCCGACACAGAAGAGGCAAATGGCTTCCCGTCTAATCCGATTTCAAAATGACAATGCGGCGCGGAGATAGGGAGGAGGGCCCTGAGTTACAATGTGCATAGTGATAGATTATGCTGATCCAAGCTCGGGGAATCCTTGAGTGTTGGGGGTTGGAGGAGCGTAAAAAAAAAAAAAAAAACAGCGAGATGGTTGGATAGCGAGGGAAAAAAGAAAGTGGTGAGGAATCCTTTAAAAAGGCGCCAAATTTGCAAGAAGAGACCCCCCCGCCCCTATTAAAAAAAAAATCTCCACCTCTGACTTGGCCCACTCTTTCTGCAAAAGAAGAGACAGAAAATGGGAACAGAGGAAGGGAATTTTAGTGGGACAAGTAGCTCTTAGAGAAACAATGCCTATTATGCTCCTTTTTGATTTATGAGGTGCTGCTTTCAAAGATTCCGTCAGCAAACAGGCAATTCTGTGACACCGGGCTCTTCTTTTTTCCTGCTTTTCTTTGAAAGTGAGCCATTGTCCCTGGGCGTGAGGGGTGAGCAGGGCAGTGGTCAGGGCACTGGGGGCGGGGTAGAGAGGGGGGGCAGATAGAGGAGAAGGAGGGGGTTGCTTATCAAGGGCTGAGTGGAGCTTCTCAACCTCAAGTAAGAGAGGCCTTTTGGAGGGCTCTTAAGTGGAACGTGTGCCAAAATTGCCCTGCAAACAACCCCCCGTTTCCCTTAGATACCAAGAACTCCAATGACTTTTGGTTACAGGGATTGAAAAAAAAAAAAAGTTACTAAGCAACTTGATCGCGGATATCTTTAGCGCAAAACTTTGCTACTGTTTGCGAGTGCTTACAGCTTCCCCTTTTTTCTCTCTCTCTGTCTCTCTGCACCTTTGTCCATTGAGAATATCCCCAAGTTTAAAGACATGCCAAAAACAACGATAAGACACAAAGCAGAAGCCCTTGTCACATGACAGCATCAAACAGGGGGGCCCAGCGGAGTGGCCTTTTGGCCTGTGCTTTAAAGAGCCCTCATCCCGCTGGAGATAAACAGCAGACAGGAAAAAAGGGGTTATTTCTGTCTGATGCTTCTGCCTCCCCTCCTGTCATGTTTGATTTGATGATAACGGGCTGCCACGGTGCCGTCTGTGTCTCAGCATCCCTCACAAAATGACTAGTTTGCTAAAGAGACAAAAGGGAAAGAGCTATTTGGCATGTGCCGGTCGATTTCTCTGTTCGATACAAATGGTGCTCAATTGTCTCGCATGTCTGGAGGTTGAAAGCATTTGAATCTCAAACTAGGGTTGGTTTATTTGACTACAGACAAATCAGGAGGCATTTTGTATCTACGAGGAGAAGGGAGGGAGGGTGTGGCCTTACTCTTCCGGGCATTCAAAGCTAAACATGTGTGGTCTCTTAAGGCTTGAGTGTACACCTCCCATAGGGAAGTTACAAAGTGCAAAACAAGAGTGTAGACCAAACAAGCAGAGTCTGAATTAACCAAGATTAAGTCAAATAAATCGGTTGCATTTTGGGGAATCAGTTCTTTAATGTGCTGACTTTTTCTTTACATCAAACCACACCGTACCCCTCACCCCCCCCAGCATCCTTTCCATTGATCGTCAAGGGTTCCCTCGACCCCTTGACGACCAGGCCTTGAGGTCCGATAGCAAAGTGACACTTCACAAGTGAGAAGAAGGAGAGGGAGGAAATGAGTGAAGTAGTACTGAAAGAGTCCCTTTCTTTTCCGAGAGGCCTCTTCACTGAAACCCTTCACATGAAACCAGCGTGGTGGACGTACAAGCGTTTGCGGGAAACACAAAGAAACATCTTTATTCCTCAATCGGACGATCTCGACAAGCGCTTGTTCCTTCACAGTTGAACGTGTTCTCAATTTGGTCTTTTACCATTAGAGACAACAAGCTACAGTGTTTTTTTTAGCACACATGCATTATGTTACGTACAACAAAGTGACGCTTCCCTTGTGCCTTTGAAACTCTATGGAGGGGATGATAGATGGAACATGCAAATTTGGAAGGGCTCGTTGCATGAATTCATGGATGATGCGCTCGTAAATATAGAGTTTTCATCAACAAATAAGTGTTCATTATCAGTTCCCTCATGTAACTTTCAGCTCCCGGTGGGAAAAGCCTACATGCTATGAAATACAACTAAAGAGAGCATCGTGTTTATGTAACACACTCAATCAGGCTACAACAAGGGAAGGAGTCTTGCACGCCGCTACTGGCCCGCTGAATATTTTCAAAGTAGCACTTACGGAAGCCAGACATTTTGAAATATACTCCAATATGCCTGGAGTCTGACATTATATTTAACCACAGTGCATGGCTTTGGCTGTAAATTAAAGAATAGAGAGGATGGTTTATAGCACAGAGAGGGAGACGAGCTCCGGCTGGCTCCCAGAAGCTTCGTCTGCTTTCTCTGTCAAGCACTTGGAGTGGAGGCCAGGTGTTAGAATGTGGCCACTTAGAGGTTCCTGACAGTTCATTTCCTGTGCGAGAAGAGTCAGGGATTAAACATTAGATCTTACAGGAGTGTGTTCAGTTTATTTTTTTTTTTATGGCTTGTACGTCTGGTTTTGTCTGGATACTTGTTTTGGCACCAAAAAGTGTCGGTATACATTCGCACCTGTTGTTGAGAAAGTCTCCATTTCTACAACATCCGTCACACCTTCTTGTAACTTCATACCGACAACTCGCCGGGCGCTGAACCCAAAGTGATGCTTCTGCTTCGGCTTCGTCAGCCTGATATCAGAG